GATAAACTATCTTGAGACCTGAGATTTATTGATCAACTAAAACAGATAAACAAATAAATAAAAGATAATTATTGTTAGGCCGTTCAAATTTAATTATTTGTTTAACATCCCCCCCAAGATTTTCAAAATTTCAAGAATAAACAAACAATTATAAAGCACGTGATTTACCTGTGTAACAAAGTATTCGGAGAAACTTTTTCGCAAAACACGTGACCTTTGTGTGCAACAAAACATTTTTGGAAAAATAATTTTTCTCTGCCGATCACTCTAGTGATTGAAGGCTTTTCATTGGTGTTTATTTTATTTTGTTTTGTTTAAATTTCTCCCCTCCCCCCCTACATAGTGGAAATTTGAAATGTTACACTGATTTTTTATATTGTGCAACGTAGCTTTACAATACGCGGCAAACATTCTGGCAATAAAAAGTAAGTGATAAACTGGATTTGAATTGGATCTGAACTTGATCTCCAGTTTAGAGAGGTAACAACTATATACTGGTGAAGCTTCAGGAGCAATGGGTTCTATATAACATTTCTTGTAGCAACAAACTTCCATTATGCTCCCCCCAGCATAGTGGAAATTCTATTTTTGCAATTGTCACATTTACCTTTTAGTAGAAGATCTTCGTGTTACATACATAATAAAATTTGTTTGAATTATGAACTTTAAATCAAAGAGTTTTTTATGTATTTTTCTTTTTTGCATGATGTACAAACATATGTATTCGAATTTATTTATTTAAAAATTTGTGATCTTACATATCCTTTGATACATAATAATAGTAAAGCTTTATATTAATATAATACTTTCCCATTATTGAAGAAATAAAATACGCATATTTTTATATACAGTTTACTCTCTCTATAATGAACACTAAGTAAATCTCTATATATAACAAACTTCACTTTTTTTTATAATAATAATAATTTCTCCTTATAATATTAGTAAACACAAATAAAAATAGATGGAAGGTTCGTTATAGAGAGTGAACTGTAGCAAGTGGGAAACTATTAATAAGAATCCATAAAATAAATAAATGTTTAAATAATAATAAATTTCCATAATACACTAAATAAAGTAAACATACATACATGGTCAAATAAAAGCCAACGTAAAGATCCATATCAATAAGAAAGTTCTGGAAGAATTAATGTTATATGCTCTATATGTAATTTGAACCTTTTATGCATTTTCATGGAGTAATATGCATGTATCTTTTCGATCAACATTTTTGAAAACAATTTGATCTATAGTTCCAGTAAATATTGTAGAATTATTATTGTCCCTACACTTTTATATATTTCTTTAATGAAAGAGTAAGGTATATACAACTTTTATTTCTTTAAAAAGAAGAGATATATATATATTAATATGCTTTTCTTATAATAAGAAAAAAAAGATATATATATGTATATTAATATGCTTTTCTTGTAATAAAAAATAGTGAAATAAACTAACTTTAATAATAATAATTTATTCTCTACGAAGGTTGTAATTTTGATCTTAAAGTTGGAACAAAAGAAAATGATTGAAAAAGAAGGAACGAATTAGTAAATGAATGGAAAACATTCTTAGTTTTTATATTCATATTTCATATATGTTGCTTGTTCTTATATATATATATATATATATATCATATCATTCATATATTTTATAATAAATTTTTATTTACCTTATATATTTTATATTGAATTCCATTTATTTGACTAAAAATTATGCAATTTTTTGCTTTATATGTAACCTTTAGATTGATTTGCATCCAAACATATCCCAAATCTTTAAATGAAAGCACATAAAATAAAGATAATAACTGCATAATTTTTTTTGTTTAATGAATGGTGTTACCTATAACAGCACCTGATGTATTTTGAGTACTTTAAACAATTGTGAATTTATTGTTGCACAATATAAACTAAATTTATCACAGTGATCATCAAATTGTGATATTCCACTATGCTCGTTGTCAATTGATCAACAATTTTATTTTATTTTATAAAAAAAAATGTCTCAGCAAAAACAAAAAAATAGAAGAATCCGAGAAAGAATTACTGTGTAAGTGTTGTTTATTGTAAGAATGATGGTGGCAGTTATCGCCACCACTCGTCACTCTAGTTTTTTGAAAAATTGGCATCATGTATCATAGCTATGTGCAAATATTCAGAAAACTCTAATTTTACGTCCATTTTAAATCCTTGATGTTATTCTAGTTCTGATGAGGAGGAGAATGATAAGATTGTTATTGAGATCGAAGATGATGACAAAACTGATGAAGTTGAAGATGAGGCTGATGATGAAACAAATAAAGATGATGACGAAACTGAAGACGAAGATGATGATGTAACTGAAGAAGATGAATATGAAGCTGATGATGAAACTGAAGAAGATGAATATGAAGCTGATGATGAAACAGATGAAGATGATGAAGTAACTTTTTATAAACTTTGCTGTTTTTTTTTAGAAATTTGGATACTTTCATATTTCTTACACTAAAATTATAATAGCCGAGGAGGAGATTAGACAGAGAGCTGGAGTTGAGCATGGCAGCGTTTGATAGACTGGTGAGAGAGGAGGCAGGACCCGGGGTAAGGTTTCAGTCCGGTGCCATTAGAGAATTACAAAGGGTATGGTTTCTTTTTCAATAAAAGGATTGATTTTTTAAAAAAATATTAATAATTAACCTTGGCATTCAAAATAGAGAACTGAGAGGGGGTTGATGAAGTTGTTTAGGGATGCGTAAGTACAATATCAAGTTAAAAAATTAATAACTAAAATATAATTTTGCTAATCATCTTTTCCTCAATTAGGAGCTTGTGTGCAGAATATGCAGGAAAGAGTGAAGTGGGGCTTGAGGATTTGAGGTTTGCTGCTGAATTTAGGGAGAGAGTGAGGATTGAAACCTTAACAAATGAATAAATAAAAAAATATAATATTCTTTTTACATCACTTACTTTATCAGACATTTCCATGATTCCCCCAAAAAATATTTTTTTCCTTACACCCTTCCTCTCTTGGAAGTTTTACAAGCATGCCAGAAACCAATGATTTGATTTCTTTTTTTTTTATATCATTAGCATGATCAACCCATGAAAATTAGCAGCAACAATGACAGAAGATTTAAAGGTCGTTTTGCAAACACATCCCTGCAGACAATCCATCAATGTGCCCAATACTAATAATAGTAATGGTAGCTTTGATCACATAATGATTTTATATAGATCAACAATATCTGATATATAGTTGTTCATCATAATTGCCCTTCTTAATAAATGATCATCACTGTATCTGTAATGCCGTAATTAGTTTTTCATAGTTGCCAAAATTATATCAGTAATTATTTGAACTCTTTAAGTCAAATGGCATATTAATATATAGTTATTTTATGTTTATTCATATAAAGAATGTTGAGAATCCGTAATTATTGTCATAATCACTTGTCCTCCAAAAACAATTACAGTAGAGGCCTGCATGGATAACAATAATTGAACCCCATATCCCCATACCTGCATGATATCAAAATTTTGTACCCATACTAAGGTTGTGGGCGAAACCTCTTAATGACTGTCGAAACTTTGTTGAAACTCTAATGAACAATTAATGTGTAACCTGTCGAAACTCTGATGATTGGCGAAAACCCCAAATGCGAAACT